GGGGAGGTGTAGAGGAATATCTGAAGGACAAGGAGACGGGTGAGAGGATTTCAAACGGCAGGGGAGGTGAGATGATTTCAAACGGCACTTACATCTGTCTGTGGCGGCTGCATGATCTGCATGGAGAGCGCCTGTGACACCACCAGCAGCACTGGTGACAGTGAAAACTTTGAGCACCACTCGCAGCAGCACCATTGGTACCAGTGGCAGCAGTGGTGGCACTTACATCTGTCTGTGGTGGCTGCATGATCTGCATGGAGAGCGCCTGTGACACCACCAGCAGCACTGGCAGCACGAGGTACGCTGCTGTGGCCTCCCAGCCCAGCGGAGGGGCCCCGTCCTGTCGAATGACAAGCAAGCACAATAAGAATGACCTTAGAAGAGACGCACTGAAGCGGCTGCATGTGCTTAATACTGTAAAGGGTGACAGTATGTGCTTATAGTCAAGGGGAAGGGTGACAGTATGTGCTTATAGTCAAGGGGAAGGGTGACAGTATGTGCTTATAGTCAAGGGGAAGGGTGACAGTATGTGCTTATAGTCAAGGGGAAGGGTGACAGCATGTGCTTGCAGTGAAGGGGAAGGGTAGCAAGCAGTGTGCGCTGACAACTAAGGCAAAGAGTGGTAGCTTGTGCTTACAACGAAGGGGAAGAGCCAGGAGATGCCAGAGGCTTCGACGGTGGGATCGATAGACGTTGGGCCGGCAAGAGAGGGGATCCAGAAAAAGCCCTCCGTCAACACGCCCTGTGGATGAGACGGGATAGGATGGATGGGGCAGGAAGCACGTGTTAGTGCAGGGGATGAGGTGGTGGGAAGCGAGGTGTGGACTTGGGGGAGGTGGGGGGGAGGGAGCGAGGAGATTAAGAAGAAACCCTCCGACAGCACGCCCTGTTAATGGGCGGGTGGTGGTGGTGGAGGTGGTGGTGGTGGAGGTGGTGGTGGAGGTGGTGGTGGTGGAGGTGGCGGTGGAGGTGGTGGTGGTGGAGGTGGTGGTGATGGAGGTGGTGGTGGTGGAGGTGGTGGTGGTGCAGTGCAGGGGAATCAGATAAACACACAAGTGGGGACCCCGGGTGACGGCAGGAAGGAGGCAGATAAAGTACTTTGCAAAATAGGTGAAAGAGCAAACGAAAGCGAGCGGCATGACGGAGGGCTCCTGGGAGATCGATGTAAGAGAAAGAGGGGGGAGCGGGAGGGGGTGGAGGGGCCCGGGGGGTGGGAGGGGGGAGAGGGAAGGGGGGAGTTGGGGATATGGGAATGATAAGGAGCACTTTACTTACTTCCTTAGCGACGTTACTGAGAGCCTGGTAGAGGCCGATGAAGATAGGGAGAGTGGCGAGAGTGGGGAGGCAACCTGTGATGTGGTTGGGGATGCGGATGGGCATGGGCATGGGGATGGGGATGGGAACGGGGATGGTGATGAGGATGGGGATGGGGATGGTGATGGGGATGGGAACGGGGATGGGAACGGGGATGGGAATGGGCATGGGAGATGTTGATATGATAGTTCAGCTTCTTTTTTGGTGCAACTTGTGTCGTTCAATTTCATTCCTGTTGTGCCCTGGCTCCATGAGTTCAGTTCAGACTCGAGAGGAAGGACAAGAGTCAAACTAGTCCCTATGTTCGTGTCACGTTGTTCAGCTTTTTTAGGGATCAATCGGAACTCAACTCCTGGCCTGCTACAAGATCGCCTCATCTGGTACGAAAACGCATCCCCTCACCTGCAAGAGGGTTGACTCCCGGGCGTTGGTACACCTTGGCCGTTCCATCTGAATGCGCTCCTGATCGCACCAGGCTGTAGAACCTTTACTGTGCCCATATAACCTCCTGGCCTCGTCAGGTCAAGCAACAAATCGTCTCACCTGCGAGGGGGTTCACTCCCGCGCGTTGGTAAACCTTGGCGGTCTCCATCTGGATGCGCTCCTGGTCGAACCAGCGTTCAGAACGCAACTTCCTGGCCTGGTCAAATTACGGAACATACCGCCTCACCTAGTCGGGGAACGCCTCGACTAACCTGCAAGAGGGTTGACGCCCGCGCGTTGGTACACCTTGGCGGTCTCCATCTGAATGCGCTCCTGGTCGCCCGCGTACTGCGCCTGAATCGCCTTCAGCTGCGGCGCCAGGCTCTGCATGGCGAGCGTCGACTCCACCTGCTTCTTCGTCAGCGGATACGTCACGAGCTTGACGATGATGGTGAGCAGGATGATGGAGAATCCGTACGCGTACGGCACCTTGAGAGAGACCAGGCCCTCCTCTAACACCTGCCAGGAGTGCGAGATGGTGGGGGGAGAGCGGGAGGGGGGGAAGGGGGGTTGCGGAGAGGAGGGTGGGAGCATGATGGAAACTGTCGTCAGCGGAAACGTCACGAGCTTCACGATGATGGTGAGCAGGATGATGGAGAATCCGTACGAGTACGGCAGCTTCAGAGAGACCAAGCCCTCCTCTAAGACCTGCCAGGGGCGCGTGATGGGAGGGGGATGGGAGGGTGGAGACAAGGAAGGGGAGAGGGAGGGATGATGGATATGACCGCGAGTGGGAACGTCACCAGCTTCACGATGATGGTGAGAAGAATGATGGAGAAGCCGTACGCGTACGGCACTTTGAGAGAGACTAGGCCTTCCTCTAAGACCTGCCAGGGTGAGTGATGGGAGGGGAAGGGGCGGGGAATCATAGAAATGATGGTCAGCGGGAACGTCACCAACTTCACGATGATGGGCAGGAGGATGATTGAGAAGCCGTACGCGTACGGCACCTTGAGAGACACCAGCCCCTCCTTTAAGACCTGCCAGGGGTCTGTGTGATGAGGGGGAATGAGGAGGAAGGGGGAGCGACGCGACATTGACGACGACGGTGATAAGGATGATGGATGATGGAGGGATGATGGACCTGCCAGGGGTGTGTGAGATAAGGATGATGGAGAAGCCGTATGCGTACGGCACTTTCAGATACACCGACCCCTCTTTGAAGTCCTTGATAATAATGGCGACGCCGCACTTTTAAAAAGTCTCACGAGTTTACGGATGTAACTCAACTATATATTGTTGTGAATTGGATGATGGAGATACCGTGTATGCACGGCATCTTGAGAAAGGCTAAACCCTCCTCTTCGACCCCCGCAAGGCACTGATGCTCAGAGCACCGGCGGAATGAAGATGGAGGAAGGAAAGTCTGCCTGGCCTTGCAAATTCCTCACAAATAACACCACAATTGGTTTATTTACGTTGTGAAACACATGAAATGGCACTGTCTACGGTGTGGAGATGCCATTGTCGCACCTTTAGAAATGTTTCCAGGAGATCAGCAAGGCCTGAGAACCAGCCACGATCCTGCACCACCTCAGCAGCAGCTGGTGCCACGTCAGCAGCAGCGTCCGCAACCGAGAAAAGCAGATTGTGTGCAGCGATCGATCCTGCGGAAATTACGGCATCAATACCGGAAGGGTCCAGGGCAGCTCTAGTGACAGTGCTTCTAGATCGCTTCGCATGCCTCTGTGACTGCAACGGGCGTAACTGACGTAAGGGAAGCCCTAGACCACGACAGCAGCTTTGCAGTCTAAGCCCAGATGCTGACGTGGCTAACGTAGCCCTAGGTACTGTCGAAACTGCCATCGGTGCAGGATGCAGCAGGACCCGATCCATGGCGCCGAAAATCGACGAGCGACGAGAACTGCGGCAGACGTCGAGTCGATCGGACTAAGTGACCTAATGCAGTGCTGCAGGTATACCAGCAGCTGCGCTTGGGCTACCTTGCTCACTGCTAGGTATGTTCACCCTGGGGTGGGGGCCAGTGAAAGAAGAAACCGAATCAGGTCACATACAGGTCACACAGGATTCCCTCCCATCCCACCCACCACAGCCCAGCAGGAATCCAGTGGAGGCATCTGGTAACTTCTAGGGGAGGGGAGCTGGCATGGCATTCACTCTGAATGCCTGAATCGCTTTTGACGTAAGCGTCTATTGGATGCGTGACACGTGTGCACGCCAGATAAGGGTCTTGAAAGCCAATGACACGTGGCTGTATTGCGTCTATGCTGCTTCTTTATTGTCACATTGAGAGATACACCTGGAAATGTGACAATGTTTGCCATACTGTACTGTACTTCCCTTGTCTTACGCAGGCAAGCTGCAGCACAATCGTGGATGTAGTTTCTCCATCGCAAATTGTGGCAATCTACGATGAAGCCACGTGCATGTCCGGATCTAGCGCTGGTTGGAAGGCTTGATGCGCTATTTGTGGGAGAAGGATCTCCGATTGGTTAAAAAAGATCAGTGAACCTCACCACGACCTTCGGAGCTTTTCGTGTGCTGCCAGCTGAACCACTTTTGAGTGACTTGTGTGTCAAGGAAGCGAAGCCGTTGCCCAATCAATGATATCCACGACACCGCTCAGGAAGCTCGTTAACCGCTAGCCGGCGGTTTCGTATTCCGTGTTTTTATCGTCCAGGAGGTCCGTTTTCGGTGTACGACGTTTCTGGTGTCGTCCAGATTCATCCAAGCGGCACATCCGAACGAAAGCATTTCAAGTCGCAAGAAACGTCGTAACAGCCATGGTGATTCCCAAGGTTGCCGTATAAAGTTCCGTTGCCCAGAGAGTTCACGAGAAAGTTACCAGCTCTTGAAAGCACATCAAAATATCGCCTTGCTTCGCTGCATTCATACACAAGTCAGTTGCTGCTGAGCAGAACAAAGCCCGTGTGCGTCAGTCATAATCAAATTCTTCCTTTGTCATTCTACTTTGTTCTTCTCCACGTTAGCACGGTTCCCTTCTGCCGAGGAACCTTTCGTGTTTCGACTCCAAGTCACGACTCCCAAGTCACATCTGTTTCAGGGGGCTATTCGTGCTTACCGCGGACAAGGTACTTGCATGTGGTTCAGAATTCGGGTTTCCGGCTTGTGAAACTGTGTCTGCAGCTGTTTCCCCCTTTCACTAAATTCGGACCCCCTATCGCTGTCTTCTGCTCTCAAACTCCAGACCCTGTTTGCGTGCTTCTAAGCGCATAGTCGGAATGGCTGGAGCTATCGCTCAGTCGTCGCTCGTCTCCGCGAGCGTGGTCCTTCATGGCGGTAACAAGTCTTCTCGACGCTCGCGGCGCCCGTCGTCAACCGTCGCCAGCGTCGCAGCCCCTCGTTCGCTTCAATCATTCACGGGACTAAGGCGTCCCGGCCAAGCTGACGTGACACTCAGGGGCTCTCCATCGTTGGCAGCGATAGTTGCGAAGCAGACGAAAGCCGGCTCGTCCGGCGCCGCCAAACGCGGCGTCGCTGTCGCCATGTTCGAGCGCTTCACAGAGAAGGTATCAGGCCGTTGACCCCAGAGTTCGCTTATGAGTCACTCCGCGTGTGCTCCACGGAGAACGTTCTCGGCTCTTGAATTCTAAGTTGAAAAAAGAGTCACTTAGAGGTTTCAGGATTACACGCGGAGCGGCTTGATTACTCAAGATTCGGATTCGTTTTCTTTTTATGTCGTCGATGTTTAACTTGGGACCTGCGCTGCCGATTGCTGCTGACCACTTCGATTCCGTCGGTCAGCCACCAAGCTACTCGGGTTCCTATCTCTCCCTCCCTCTCGTCGCCCGTCGCAGGCCATCAAGGTTATCATGCTCGCGCAGGAGGAGGCGCGGCGTCTCGGACGCAACTTCGTGGGCACGGAGCGTGAGTGGACTCAAACAAGTCGTGTGAAACGTTCTCACTTCCCCATCCCTCTCATCCCCCGTCGCAGGCCATCGAAGTGATCATGCTCGCGCAGGAGGAGGCGCGGCGCCTGGGCCACAACTTCGTCGGCACGGAGCAGATTCTCCAGTCGACTCAAAATTTGCTCTTAACGTCCTCACCTCCCCATCCCATCACTCGTCCATCGCAGGCGATCAAGGTGATCATGCTCGCGCAGGAGGAGGCGCGGCGGCTCGGACACAACTTCGTGGGCACGGAGCAGATCCTCCTGGGGCTCATCGGCGAGGGCACGGGGATCGCCGCCAAGGTGCTCAAGTCGCTGGGCGTCAATCTCAAGGAGGCGCGCGTCGAGGTCGAGAAGATCATCGGCCGCGGCTCGGGGTTTGTGGCCGTTGAGATCCCGTTCACGCCGCGCGCGAAGCGCGTGCTGGAGCTGTCGCTGGAGGAGGCGCGGCAGCTGGGGCATAATTACATCGGCACGGAGCATCTGCTGCTGGGCCTCCTCCGCGAGGGCTAGGGGGTGTCCGCGCGCGTGCTTGAGAACCTCGGCGCCGACCCTGGGAATATCCGCTCGCAGGTAAAGAGGAGGGTGTCTTTCTTGTGTGCGTTTGATTGAATATAGCTGGAGAATTTGCAGTCGCGCTTCACAGGCGATCCGCATGGTATCCTATCTGAACCACTTTCTGCAGTGAAATTGATTGTGGTCATTTAAACAAAAGTCAGATATCTCTGGTGGCAGGTGATCCGCATGGTATTCTGTCTGAACCACTCGCTGCACTGAAATTGATTGCTTCAAGAGACGTTAACTGAGTCGGATATTTCTGGTGGCAGGTGATCCGTATGGTGGGCGAGAGTGCGGAGGCCGTGGGCGCCGGCGTGGGCGGTGGCAGCAGTGGCAATTCCAAGATGCCAACGCTGGAGGAGTATGGCACCAACCTCACCAAGCTTGCTGAGGACGTGAGTCAATCTGATCTCGCTTGGGGCGCTGGTGCTGGTGTGTTCTGAGTGAACTCGAGAAACACCTAGGCAGCAACGTCAACTCCAAGATGCCCGCGCTGGATGAGTATGGCACCAACCACTAAGATTGCCGAGGGCGAGAGATGAGTGCATGTGCTCATGTTTATAATGGGACACCAATACGATTTGAAAACGAGAGAAGCAAAGTACGAGACGGTGGCTCTAGTGAGTCATCCAGAGCTCGACTCCTTACCTCTCCCTCCCTCTTCTCCCCTCCATCCCCTCCTCTTCCCCCTCCCCCCTCTTCCCTCTTCCTAATGTCACTTCGCTTCTGCAGGGCAAGTTGGATCCAGTGGTGGGGCGTGTGGCACAGATCGAGCGAGTCACCCAGATCCTGGGTCGCCGCACCAAGAACAACCCCTGCCTCATTGGCGAGCCGGGCGTGGGCAAGACCGCCATTGCTGAGGGCCTCGCACAGCGGATTGCTTCTGGAGACGTGCCTGAGACGCTGGAGGGGAAGAAGGTGAGAGTGTGGTGGCTGGCAGGATGAGTGCTCGGTAACCAGGGAGGAAGTTGATGTGACTTTTGAGAATTCTCAAAAGTCACATCAGGATGAGTGTTCCGCAACCAGGGAGAGATTTCTCGGGGAATGAGAATGTTGATATGGCATGTTCTGACTGTAGGGGCGTGGTGCGGTGGTTTTCAAAGGAACAATTCATTTTTCAAGATCGCATTCCCCTTTTCCCCCGCTTTCCCACAGGTCGTTACCCTAGACATGGGTCTACTGGCGGCAGGGACATGGTCCTTTGAGGAACGTTGTAAAGAAGATGATGGACGAGATCAAGCAGGCGGACGCTTATCGACGAGGTGCACACGCTCATCGAGGCCCAACCTCATCACTCCCTTTCCCCCTCCGCTCTTCCCTTCCTCTCCTCCCGTCCTGCCCCCTGGCCCCCCGCCCCACCTCCCCTGGTCCTACAGGTCGTGACACTAGACATGGGTCTGCTTGTCGCCGGGACAAAGTACCGTGGAGAATTCGAGGAGCGGCTGAAGAAGCTGATGGACGAGATCAAGCAGGCGGACGACATCATCCTCTTCATCGATGAGGTGCACACGCTCATCGGCGCGGGGGCCGCCGAGGGCGCAATCGACGCAGCCAACATCTTAAAGCCCGCCATGGCGCGAGGGGAGCTGCAGTGCATCGGCGCGACGACGATTGACGAGTACAGGAAGCACATTGAGAAGGACCCGGCGCTCGAGAGGCGGTTCCAGCCGGTGCAGGTGCCGGAGCCGACCGTGGATGAGACGATTCTCATTCTCAAGGGGCTGAGGGAACGCTATGAGATTCACCACAAGCTCAAGTATACTGATGAGGCGCTCGCTGCTGCGGCCCAGCTGTCCTACCAGTACATCAGGTACGCTGGGTTGGGGCGTCCAGTGCAGGTGGTTTGAATTGAAGGGGCTGAGGGAGTGCTACAAGATTTGAGACGTCTCAAAATTTAGTTTTGGGACGTCTCAAAACTGGGTTGGATTGAAGGGGCTGAGGGAGTGCTAGGAGATTCACCACAAGTTGAAATACACGGATGAGGCGCTTGCTACTGCCGCCCAGCTGTCCTACCAGTACATCAGGTACGCTCTGGGTTCATGGTGAAGTGGGGTCTGAGATGCCAAGGAGCTTGACACCTAGCTGCTTTGCACGGTTATCCTGAACCAGCTTCTCACCCTTTCCTCCTCTTCGCTCCTCCTCCCTTCTCCTTCCCCCTCCCTCTTGCCTCCCCCCCCCCCCCTCCCCTCCCCTCCCCTCCCCTCCCCTCCCCTCCCCTCCCCTCCCCCCAACCAGTGACCGCTTCCTGCCAGACAAGGCAATCGACTTGATCGACGAGGCAGGGTCCCGGGTGCGGCTGCAGCACGCGCAGCTACCAGAGGAGGCCAAGGAGCTGGACAAGCAGCTGCGGCAGATCACCAAGGAGAAGAACGACGCCGTTCGCAACCAGGAATTTGAAAAGGCCGGCGACTTGCGCGACCAGGAGATGGACCTGAAGACGCAGATCAACGCTATCATGGAGAAGAGCAAAGAGACGAACAAGGCAGAGATCGAAGCTTCCGGTGGTGCGATCGGCCCAACAGTCACCGAAGCAGATATTCATAGCATTGTGTCCGCGTGGACGGGCATTCCAGTGGAGAAGGTTTCGAGTGATGAGAGCAACCGGCTGCTGCAGATGGAGGGCACGCTGCACAAGCGAGTAATTGGCCAGGACGAGGCGGTGAAGGCGATCTCCCGCGCGATCCGGCGCGCCCGCGTCGGGCTGAAGAATCCCAACCGTCCGATCGTGAGCTTCATCTTTTCCGGGCCGACTGGGGTGGGGAAATCGGAGCTGGCAAAGTCTCTCGCGGCGTATTATTTCGGGTCGGAAGAGGCAATGGTTCGGCTGGACATGTCTGAGTTCATGGAGAGGCATACTGTGTCGAAGCTGATTGGCTCGCCGCCCGGTTACGTGGGGTACAGTGAGGGCGGGCAGCTGACGGAGGCGGTGCGAAGAAGGCCGTATACGGTGGTGCTGTTTGACGAAATCGAGAAGGCCCACCCTGATGTCTTCAACATGATGCTGCAGGTATGGTGAGGGCTAGCTTCGGGGGCCTCAGAACCAGGTATGGTGGGAGTTAGAGGGTTAGAGAGATGGATAGAAGTGGTGAACAGATAAGTGGCGGCCGTACACGGTGGTGCTGTTTGACGAGATTGAGAAGGCCCACCCTGACGTGTTCAACATGATGCTGCAGGTATGGTGGTAAAGTTTAACGATGCTGATGGCATTGGAAGGAAGGAAGTAGACGCTTAGTATCAAGCACTCATGCTCCATATTTCTCCCCCCTTCCCTTCCAATCCCTGCATGCCAGATTTCGGAGGACGGGTGCCTGACGGACAGCAAGGGCCGAACTGTCAATCTCAAATCAAGAACACGCGGCTCATCGGTCATCGAGAAGGGCGGCGGAGGCATTGGCTTCCAGCTGGACTATGGCGAGAAGGACACTAGCTATAACCTCGCATCACCTGCACTTAACACCAACCTCTGATTTCTGTTCCTCTTTCTCCCTCTTTCCTTTCCTCTTTCTGCTCCCAACCCTGACTCCCTGTGCACCAGATTCTGGAGGACGGGCGTCTGACGGACAGCAAGGGCCGTACAGTGGACTTTAAGAACACGCTCCTCATCATGACATCGAATGTCGGTTCATCCGTGATCGAGAAGGGCGGCGGAGGCATCGGCTTCCAGCTGGACTACGGCGAGAAGGACACGAGCTACAACAGAATCAAATCCCTAGTGAATGAGGAGCTGAAGCAGTATTTTAGGCCGGAGTTTCTGATCCGGCTGGACGAGATCATTGTGTTCCGCCAGCTGACGAAGCAGGAGGTGAAGGAGATCAGCGATATCATGCTGAAGGAGGTGTTTGACAGGCTCAAGAAGAAGGACATCGACTTGCAGGTACGTGAATGAAGACATATTTACCACATTGTCAGGGTGGGCGGGTGGGTGGGCGGGTGGGTGGGTGGGTGGGTGGGTGGGTGGGTGGGTGGGTGGGCGAGTGGGCGGTGGGTGGGTGGGTGGGTGGGTGGGTGGGCGGGTGGGCGGTGGGTGGGTGGGCAGTGGGTGGGTGGGTGGGTGGGTGGGCGGGTGGGCGTCGTAAAGAAGGTGAAGGAGATCAGCGATAACATGCTCAAAGAGGTGTTTGACCGGCTCAAGAAGAAAGACATCGACTTGCAGGTGAGAAGCATGGAAGGGAGGGGAGGTCGGTGAGCGTGTGGGTTTAGGGAAGAGAGGGAAGGGTGTGAAGGAAAGGAGGTGAAGGAGATCAGTGATATCATGCCCAAGCAGCTGTTTGATAGGCTCGAGAAGAAGGACATAGATCTTCAGGTGAGGGAGGGGAAGCAGGATGGGGGAAGGGTCTGAAGTGGTATCATCCTAAAGAAGAAGAATGTCGACGTGTTGGTGATTGGGAGGGAAGCAGGGAGGGTGAGTGGTTGCCGTGTGTGGAGCGTTGTTCAACTGTTACGCAATAGCTGAACAACGCTCAGCTGAAGCAGCCATCACGCTCAGCCGAAGCAGCCATCATGCGACTGCTTCAAGACAGCTTGGGCAGAGCGCATGATGCTTGGTGTCCTGTGAAACTGTCTCACCTTCACCCTCTTCCTTCTCCCCTTATCCCCACACCCCACAGGTGACGGAGAGGTTCAGAGACAGAGTGGTTGACGAAGGCTACAGTCCTTCCTACGGCGCCCGGCCGCTGCGGCGAGCCATCATGCGGCTTCTTGAAGACAGCATGGCAGAGCGCATGCTCTCAGGGGAGATCAAGGAGGGCGACAGTGCCATCATTGATGTGGATGCTGATGGGAATGTGACTGTGCTGAATGGCAACACTGGCACTGCTACGTCTACCGTCATTGAGGCCCCTGCTGGGATCTCTTAGAAGGGAGTGGAGGAGGGTCAGTGGGGTGTAGGAGTGTGCGTGGGGTGTAAAGGGGGGAGTTGTCAGGGAAGGTGGGCGACAGTGCGATTATTGATGTGGATGTGGACGGGAATGTGACTGTGCTGAACGGCAGCACTGGCACTGCCACTTCTACTGCTATTGAAACTTCTGCAGGCATCTCTTGAAGGGGATTGGAGAGCAGCACTGGCAGCACTGGTACAGCTACTTCTACTGTCATTGAGGCTCCTGGTGGAATCTCCTAGAGGGGAAAGCAGGGTGGATGGGTGTATGGCGGGCCTGGCGTGAGGTTGCTGGATGGTATATAGAGCGACTGCTGTGGTGGCCGCTGTGCATGCATCCCTTGTATAGGATGAGCATACTGTAGCTTGTGATTGTTCCCCTCCAATGTCTGAATCTGAACTTTTTGGACAGCTTTGCTGATTCCTTTTATGCTGTGTGAATTTACAGCTGAACATTGTTACATCGGTAGGTAAATGCTTTACACTACAACTTTTGATCCACGGTAATACATTGATGTGACCTGTTAGACAATGTACGGTAAGTTTAAACGAGTGTGAAATGGAGTATGCAATTCAGGAGAAAAACAAAGACCACCTCTCGCTAATAAAGCAAGTAGACACTTCCATTGCTCCTAGTGTACTAGCCATGCCCTACAGTCTTTCACGAATGCTGTATCTAGTTTCACAGCATACACTGCTTTGGGCATTCAGCGGCGGCATTCAGCAGCGGAGGTGTACCAATAATCAAGAACTGCTGAGTACACGCTGCAGTGCAGACCTCGGATCCTCCGCCAGACACAATGAGCACTGCATTGCTGTAGGATACCAGTAATCAATAACTACGTGGCAGATGCTGCAGATTTGAGAGCTTCAAGCAGAACAGCAGGGGGCTGAGCACCTGAAAACTCCTGCCCACCAATCTGTAGGCAGAGCAAATATGGGGGAGATGCGAGCATAATTCTGATCAAGTCTTAAAAATAGGCACATGATAACATTTGACCGCCATTGTGTGTTGGGAAAGGTAAACATAGGGAAGAAAATGCAGTGAAGGAGGTGTGGGCAAAGGAACGACAACAGCACAGACAAGATCCCGAAGATAAAACGTGGAGGGTTAGCTTCCAACTGTTTATGGTCAGTTTGACAGGACATAGTGTGGTGGAACGAGAAAAACTGTTTGTATTGAAGCAGCTTACAATGAAATGTGGGACGCCTGATACTCGAGGTCGATAGCGTTGTAATTCAGCCTCCACCTGCATTACATGCCATGTGCCAACCATCGCACGCCATATGTAATGCACATGCATATGGTGTAAGTAAAAACTCCTTATGTCAATCACGTGCCATATACCATGCACATGCCATTCAAATGTTATTCATTCACATGCCATTCAGACGCCGTACATGCATGCGCTGTTCACATTACATTCACGTACCATATTTCCTCAGATATATAGCCCCCCCCCTCCCATTTTCTTTCGCCCTGGGGAAGTGGCAATAAGAATTTTCCAAATTACAAGGCCCAGGGGTTCTGAAATCTGTATATGGGCTTGGCCCCAGGGGCTAACCCCTACTGTTCTTCTGTGCCTACATTATTTTCCCCATATTTCTCGAAAAAAACTATATACTACATAAGCCCCGGGGCAATAACAAAACAAAATCGAATAAACACCCCCCAATCCCCCCTCCCCCAAAAAAAAAACCAAAAACAATAGAAGCCCCTAGGGGCCTCTATCTGGGGAAATACGGTATCAAGCACATCCTATAATGTACATATATTTTCCATGCTGTTCACATTCCACTCAACTCCAAATGCTCAATCAACGTGCCACAAGCAACAACTGACACCTTAAGGGACTATGAATCACTGAAAAAAATAAAAGAGAAGGAAAATCACAACACACTCCAGGACAACCAGTCACACGCCCACCACACACTACGCAATCCATCCTTCCACCCACCCATGCATCCTTGAGATCACCCCTCACCTCTTGCAAGCCTGACTGTGGGCTGTCAAGCCACTCTGCTGCTCCTTGCAAGCCGGCCCTTTTAGCTGCTGCCACTAGCACTTGTCTGGAGGGGAAAGATGAGTCGAGTAATCGAAAGCGAAAAAAGAGCAACACTTTGTCCCCCCCATCGCCAAAAAAAAAGCATCAATCAGTTCTTCTGATCAACAACCATAAACAGCCAACTTCTCCTCTTCACATGTCGCCAACGAACTTCTCTCGAGTGGGGCATAGATTTGAACCGATCAGCTTGCAGACATCGCAGGGCACAACAAAACTACTCAAACCTCAAAGGGGCCTCCCCCTCCTCACCTGTCGCCGATAAACTTCTCTCGAGTGAAGTAATCCAGAAACAGCTCCTCCACCACTCGGTGCTGCAGAGAGGAGCCGGCCGGCTCACCGCCCTTCTCCCTGTCCCTCATCCCTGCCAGCGCGATCAGCCGATGGCTGTCCAACGTGTTGCCTCTGGTGAAAGGGGTAATGCAAGAGGGTGAAGAGATTGGGTGGGATTGGGGTTGCTACAAACCTGGACCAGACCAGCATGCTGGCTCGCCAGCATGTTGGGAAATGGAGGGGTGGAAAAGACAGGAGTTTCCACAGACCAAACCAGGCTGGCATGCAAGCTCACCATCCTTCTCCCTGTTGACTTTTGAGTCGACTCTTGAGTTGACTTTTGAGTCGACTCTTGAGTTGACTTTTGAGTCGACTCTTGAGTTGACTTTTGAGTCGACTCTTGAGTTGACTTTTGAGTCGACTCAAAGACCAAACCAGGCTGGCATGCAAGCTCACCGTCCTTCTCCCTGTTGACTTTTGAGTCGACTCTTGAGTTGACTTTTGAGTCGACTCTTGAGTTGACTTTTGAGTCGACTCTTGAGTTGACTTTTGAGTCGACTCTTGAGTTGAATTTTGAGTCGACTCTTGAGTTGACTTTTGAGTCGACTCAAAGACCAAACCAGACTGGCATGCAAGCTCACCGTCCTTCTCCCTGTTGACTTTTGAGTCGACTCTTGAGTTGACTTTTGAGTCGACTCTTGAGTTGACTTTTGAGTCGACTCTTGAGTTGACTTTTGAGTCGACTCTTGAGTTGACTTTTGAGTCGACTCTTGAGTTGACTTTTGAGTCGACTCAAAGACCAAACCAGGCTGGCATGCAAGCTCACCGTCCTTCTCCCTGTTGACTTTTGAGTCGACTCTTGAGTTGACTTTTGAGTCGACTCTTGAGTTGACTTTTGAGTCGACTCTTGAGTTGACTTTTGAGTCGACTCTTGAGTTGACTTTTGAGTCGACTCTTGAGTTGACTTTTGAGTCGACTCAAAGACCAAACCAGGCTGGCATGCAAGCTCACCGTCCTTCTCCCTGTTGACTTTTGAGTCGACTCTTGAGTTGACTTTTGAGTGGACTCTTGAGTTGACTTTTGAGTCGACTCTTGAGTTGACTTTTGAGTCGACTCTTGAGTTGACTTTTGAGTCGACTCAAAGACCAAACCAGGCTGGCATGCAAGCTCACCGCCCTTCTCCCTGTCCCTCATCCCTGCCAGGGCCATCAGCCGATGGCTGTCCAACGTATTGCCTTTGGGAGCGGAAAGAACAGCAAGCGGAGGGAGAGGGAAACTAGGTGCAACCAGAAAACAATACAGGAACGCCGGCCTGCTTCAACTGAACTCACAAGCTGAACTCACAAGTCACCAGGCAGGCACCACCTGATGAATCGATGGACTCACGTGAGTCCGCCCAGCCCAGGCTGTATTTGAGCCCGAGCTAATCAAACACGGCTGCCATGCGCGCAGAGATGGCCGGCATTCGGTTCATCTAATCCCCAGCAGTCAGATGAACCGAATGCCGGCCAACTTATACTCGCACCAGTCAGCCCCTTGTGCTCTCATCAGCCACCTCACCAACCGCAAGCTAACCAACTCACGTGAGCCCGCCCAGGCTGTATTTGAGACCGAGCTCCTCGAACACGGATGTCATGCGCGCGGATATGGCCGGCATTCGGTCGCCGAAGAGAGAGCGGTAGAGGTCGAGCTTGCTCACGCCTTCCTTTGACGCCTTGGGGTTGAGCTGAAACGCGTGCCATCGGACCTGTGACGTGAAGGATGGGACGGGTGTAACAGGGACATGCGAGTTAGCAGACGTAAAGCTTGAGCCAAGCTTTTAATCCTAATCTCTCTCCCTCCGAGACATTTGTACTGGTTATAATGCTACCCAACCCACCTCAACGTCCGCCAAGTCAGCGAGTTCGGCGATGGCCTTATCTAGGTTTCGCTTGCCGACGAAGCACCACGGACAAACGGTGTCGGATACGACGTCCACTGCCACACGCGCGCGACGACCGGCGGTCGCCATGAGTGCGTGGCGACGTTGTGCGACGGTTCCTGGATCGCACGGACGAATGTTACCAGCAGAGGACCGCTTTACGATATATTTTCTGTACAGCCAGCTAAGGCGGAAGTATCCGTCTATAGTAACAGTCTATGGTATAACCTTCGCTAGTCCCTGGCTTTTCTAGGGACTAGGTAGCCCTGGAAACGCAGCTGTGGAAACTTGACATTTCTACCCCACATGCGACATTCCGAAGGGAAACGGACTCGGTAAAATTGCGTCGGAATTCGAATCAATGAGTTTACAGTAAAGCGTGTGACAGTTTGCATCTATTGTGCTAATTCGAGACTCAATTAAAAAAAAATTGCCACACCGTTACACAATCTCCTTTTGATCACGCTCTGGAGACAAAGAGGTGCTAGCAAGTGGGGCTACTCCTGATCCAGCCGCTTCGTTTCTTACGCAGCCACTCCCGCTGATTATGTGAGGGGCCCACCGCTTTAGCAGCTTCATAAAGAGCTGATACAAGCCCATGCCGACAACTAGAGAAGACACCCATGCAATCACCGGCACCTGCAAATGTGGGGAAACAAGGAATGCCAGAACAATGCAAGTATAGGAGGAAACTGAAGGAGGCAAGCCAAGATGTACCTTATCAGTTGTAGAGGTTAAAAAACAAAAAAAAAGGAAACAACAGATGGGCATAGATGAGAGAGGGGTGGAGAGAAAGAGAGAGGCAGGGAACAGAAGAGGGTCGAGTAATGAGTTGAGGGGTGGAAGATAAGGCTGACTCACGTTCCCAGTGGATAGGCTGACAAACGCCGGAGCTGGGCAGTAGCCGGCTAGTCCCCAACCTGGAAACAAGGCACGGGTGGAGTGAACATGGATATACAGCCAGATTAATTATTCGACTCAAAAGCTGGGCAGTAGGCGGCTAGACGCAAACATGGGAGAAAGGTTGTGGCTGGGTGGAGATGCAACAGAAGTGGAGACTCAGTGCGAATGGAATGGCAAAAGAACGTAGTAGGAGCACAGAGGGTGAAAAAAAAAAAAGCACACAAAAAAAAAGGGGAAAAACGGGTGAAACTAGAAGCTTACCGATGCCAAAGATCGCCGACCCAACCACGAGCTCCCAGGTGATGTCATTGCTCGAGGGGACGAAGAACTTGGCTTCAAAGAGCGGGTTGGGGCGCGCGAGAATGAAGCGGAAGGTGATGGCGTTGACTACCACGGCACCGCCCATCACAAAGGCGAGACTGGGGTCCCACCCGTGCACTGGGTCTAGAAAGTCCTTTACTTTGTACGGGTTGCACCTGTATGAGGGATGGTGTGAAAGGAGGTGGGATAGGGAACGAGCGATGATGAGAGAGGAGGGAGTCAGACCCATTGCCAAGGCCAGACTGGGGTCCCACCGTGCACTGGGTCTCGAAAGTCCTTTACCTTGTAGGGGTTGCACCTGTATTGGGGATGAAGACAACATGATGTTGAGACCTGGGGACTGGCTGTACACAGGGAAGAAGCATTAGGCTGCAGATAGTTGGTTTGGGGTGCAAACATACAGAAAGTCGTTCATAAAGAATGGAGAACGAATCAAAGGGGTGGGTGAGGGGGAGGCAAACGGGGAAGGAGAGAGCGTGGTGAAGGGAAGGAGGAGCTCGCATGCCGCTGAGAGCAAGACCAATACCGGGGTGACTTGTGAGTGTACTCAGAATGACTTTTTTAGTCGACTCCGAATGACGTTTGGCTTGAGCCTGTTCAAGTGACGAATGAAATGGGGAGCTTCACATGCTGCTGAGCTGAGAGCGAGGCCTACGCCGAAGATGGCTCCTAAGATGAGCGACGCTTGGAGCACGTTGATGGGGCGGAGCAGCACGGGGTGACTTGTGAGTCGACTCAAGAAAAGGGGGAACGAGGTGAAAGGGAGGGGAAGCTCACCTTGCTGCTCAGCACGAGGCCGATGCCAAAGATGGCTCCTGTGATGAGCGACGCTCGGAGCACGTTGACCGGGTGGAGCAGCATGGGGTGACTTTGGGTCGGCTCAGAACGACTTTTGAGGGAGGGAGAGGGTTTGAAGGGAGGGGAAGCTCACATGCCGCTGAGCGAGAGGCCGATGCCAAAGATGGCTCCTGTGATGAGTGACGCTCGGAGCACGTTGACGGGATGGAGCAGCGCAGAACAGCAGCAGGAGGAGGAGGGCGCAGAGGACGAGAGGGAGCAAGCCTGAGGGAAATCAAAGGAGAGTTCAGCGGGAGGGCAGAGATGGGGGAGACAGACAGAAAGACGCAGGAGACATGGGAAAAGCAGGGTGAGGTGAGAGGTTATTGCAACACACACACAGAGGCAGACACGGCAAAGCAGATCTTCACAGAACCCCCGGGCCATACAATCCGCTCTTGGTGATTGGCAATCCCCACTCACTCACCCCATCCCAACGCCCACTCACTCACCCCATCCCAATCCCCACTCCTCACTATCCCATTGTTCCGAGCTCAACCCCATTGAACCGTTCCTCACCCCACTGGAGCAGGCTGGTTTGGCAGCATCCTTTGCAAGCGACGCCGACTCCCCAGCAGCCCCACCAGCAGCCCCACCAGCAGCCCCACTAGCAGCACCACCAGCAGCTCCGCTATCAAGAAACTCGTTACAGTACGGGCATCTGTACGCGATAATAGCTCCCACGGCTGAAGCACAAACCGCCAACACGAGCAGCCACGTGTTGGTGGCTGGGATGGGCTCGCCGGGGGGGCGGTTCGCGGCTGTAGAACCGGTGGCAATGGCGCCAAGGGTCATGGATGTAGCGGCGCCTGTAGCCATAAAGGTGCCCACAGCGACGGCGCTGCGCAGCGAGAAGCGTGGCAAGCCGCACACGCCATGGCCGGAAGTGCACCCGCTGCCGAGCTGATAGGGGTAAAAGGGGAAGAGGAGCGGGAGAAGAGGGGGATGGTGATCATGAGAGAATCCCATGGAAGGCGACGGGCAGACTTGGCACCGTGCTGGACGGCGGCGGGCTGTACCTGCAATGAGCAGTCCCGCTGCGAAGCCGCGGCGGTCTCGGAAGAGCTTCGGAAGCCGCAGAGCAGCCCCGCGGCGATGAGCAGAATGAGCAACCTTTTTGACAGGTCTCAAAACCTCTAGTTGTCGGTTATTACCAGGAGAAAGAGACTGCGAGCTGCCATACCTGCGATCCGAAGCCGCAGAGCAGCCCGGCGGCGATGGGTAGAATGAGCGCGAGACCCGGATCGTCGCCCACCGACGGGGGCTTGGACCCGAACGCGTGCCCGCTGTCGATGAGCATCGTGAACGATCCGACGGCTGTCATCGACGCGAGGAACACTGCGCGCCAAGCCCAGTCCGGCACGCCCGTGATGACGCCTGCGGTAGAGAGCGGTTGGGCGAGAAGCAAGACGGTTAAATTGGTTTGGTACGAATATATGCGAGTCTCGATGGGAGAGAGAATAAAAAGATCCGATCATACGTGAGTCCACATGATACGCCATTAGACACTTACCGTTGACGACCCCCGACGCGCCCATTATGCGGCCCGTGGTGAGGAGGTGCAACGACGCGGCGATTCCGATGATCACGCCGCCCACCAGTGACTGCCACGGCGTGAAGTTATAGATCTGCGGCGCCATGATGATCGCGGGCGGCTCTCACTCGAGCTCTCTCAATCTTTCAAAGAGTCTGAGATTCTTTCTCACAGGGAGTTTGGGCCCGGCGCTTCAAATTACCCCGGGTGAGCCAGGTATTTCTATCTGGGGTAGAAGGAATTTATTCTCGTGGCGAACGATATATAGCTGAGAGCAGACGCGCGTGCTGTTGTGCCCAATGGTATGTCTTCAGCGCTGTCAAATCACAAGTCTGTGAAGAAATATATGCCCGAGCCGAGCGATCGGGGGAGGACCAGACCATCCAGTTATAACCAGTTGCTTCTGGCAGGGTTAGCACCTCGTGCTGCTTTTGTCTCTCTCCCTCCCTGCTCTTCCTGCTCTTCTGCTTCATCGCAGTCACAGTGCCCTGCCCTACCCACCCACCCACTGCAACCTTGCCTGGCTGGAGATGGGTGGAACGGCGCGATTTCGATTCCCAAAATCACGATTCCACAAAATGCTAAAACCAGCCAAATCTGTGGGTTTCTTCTCAAACCGTGATAGATTCTAATCCAACCGAAATAAACGCCCAAGTATTCTCACCAACTTTCGTATACATTGGTATGCGCCATGTGCGCGCGCGACTCGGCGCGTTGGTTAATTTTCCCTCCCTCATTTTGTTTTTCCGGCGTTGCAGATCTGGGCAGGATGTTGCTACACTCGCCAAGCATGGTATTTCACCACTGGATGTTCGCATTTCCAGCTGCGCGTGTATCTGTCGGTCGTTCATTCCACCCTCAAATGGAAATTTATGCCAGCTGGGCAGATCGAGAAATCTTCATCAGTGTGGACTCGGAAATATCAGCGGACATTTCCTTGTTGATACGAAGTTTCTCACCATGTTTCGTCTGGTCCGAGGGCGACCGCGCAACAATCAGTCTCAATGTTCCGCACTCATCAGAGACCCTAAATAACCTGAATATAATAATTTTCATATGATAGAGACACTCGGAGCTGAGCAAGGCAGAATATAATATATATTGCTAAAACCCGCTACATACCAATGAAAGGCGAGTTCCAACACATGCATAAGCAGTGTACAGCAAAGCAAGAGAAAAAGATGTCACAAATAAATAATTTAACATCATAACCAACTACCATCTCCTACCACCTTGCTGTCCTTGGTTGTAACTGCTGCGGTTGTTGCCAAGACTGCTGCTGCCAGCGGCCTTGCTGCTGCTCTGAGGAGCCCCTGATGATTGAGCCTGTTGCGACCCGGGCCACGGCCGAGCACCAGCACTCACCTCCTCCCCTCTGCCCCACTCCCTACTCCCCCCCTCTCTCCTCTCCCTGCCGCCTCCCTGATTGCTGCCTTTGCCTCCTTGCGTACGTGATTGGTTGGTGGACGAAGAGTGAGTGGTGGTGAAGGTGGCTGTATCGGGTGTGATTATATCCCACACATACTGCCTGGGCTCAGGCTTCTTGGTGACACCTCTGCCCCTCTGTCGCTCTACTCTTGAACCATCACTGTCACCATCTTCGTCGTCCTCTTCCCCCTCGGTATAATCTTCTTCTTCCTCCTCTTCTTCCTCCTCCTCATCATCCTCCTCGTCTTCCTCTTCCTCTTCCTCTTCATCTTCTTCTTCTTCCTCCTCCTCCCCCTCCTCCTCTTCTTCTTCCTCTTCTTCCTCTTCTTCCTCCTCCTCTTCCCCCTCCTCTTCCTCCTCGTCCTCCTCTTCCTCCTCGTCGTCCTCTTCCTCTTCTCCTTCTTCCTCATCCTCCTCAGCTTCCTTCTTGTTTTCCTCCTCCATCTCCCTCCGACCCAGTTCAACCCGCTGCCTACTCACTACCCCCTCTCTCTGCCCATATCCCTCTCCACCCCTCTGTCCACCCTTGTCACTGTCCCACACACCCCATAACTCCTTCCCTTCACTCCCGCGGCTCGCAACACTGCTCTTGCTCTGCCTACCCCGCCCTCCACTCTCCCTCCTTTCTTCCCTTGAGCCCGGACTATTCCAAACGTCTACACTAGCTCGACCTCCCGCCTCCCTCCCACCCCCTCTCTTCACCACCTCCCATTCCCCACCTTCCTCCTGATTCCTGCCCCTTTCTCCCTCCCATCCTCCCTCCCTATTCCCAACCTCCCTATCCCCATCCCTGCGATCCCTATTCCATCCATGTTGGTCCCAATCAACACTTCGCCTATCGTCCCTCCGCCCCCCTCCCTCCCCTCTCACACCCTCTCTCTCCCACCCTCTTTCACTCACCCTCTGCTTCTCCCCCTCTCCACCCTGCCATGCCTTGTTCCTGGAAGCTTCCTGGTTCTGATACCCTGAGAGGTCAACAGATAGAGGCCTGACTCGAGCATGGGGGAGAGAAGGAGGAGCAATAACAGGAGAAGGAGGAATAGCAGGAGCAGGAGGAGGAGCAGGGGAAGGGGATCGCGACCGCATCCCCCGATTCCCACCCCAGTTCCCTGACCCTGACCCTGACCCACCTCCCGATCCCACTCTCCCCCTCTCGCCACTCCTCTCCCATGCACCTCCAGACTCCTTCTGGTCCGCAGCAACAGAAGCAACAGCAGCGGCGGCGGCGGCAGCAGCAGCAGCAGCAGGGGAGGCAGGCACGCGCGGCGGGGTGCGGGTGCGGCCATTGAAAGACTGCCCTCGCTCGCCTTGCTCAGAAAACGACTGCCTCCTCTCCGCATGACCCGCCGCGCCGTACCGCTCCCGGTGCTTGAACGAACCGCTCCGCTCCCCGGACCAGCCACCAGGCTTGGCAGACGAGCCAGTGAGATCTCGGGACGATCTGCTCCGGCCTCTGGTCGACCCACCGAGGTCTCTAGATGATTCCTCATCCTTCTCCATCCTCTCACTCCGCTCCACGAACGAACCACTGCGGTTTCCGAACGAGCCCTTCCGGTCTTTAGAAGACGCACCATCGTCCAGAGAAGCAGCAGCAGCAGCAGCAGTGCCAGGAAGAGCAAAGAGAGAAGCGTGCCGCTGCGCCACACTGCTGCCTGAAAGCTCCTTCCTCGGCTGCGACGCAGGAGGGGACCAGTCCCTTCCCTCCCTGCCCATCTGTGGCGACCAGTCTCTCCCCTCGCGGCCTTTCAAAGGGGATTTAAAGCGGTTCCGGGGAGACGGGGACGGGGAGCGGAACGGGGAAAGGGGAGGGGAACCGTCACCGTCGCGATCGCGAGTGGAGCTCGAGTGATGGTGGTGACGATGGTGATGATGATGGTGATGGTGGCGATTGTCTGTGTGGGTTGGCGCAAGCGGGAAAGGCGGCTTCCTTCTGTCGGCACTGTCTAGAGTGTGACTGCGACCCTTCCATTCCCTCGCTGCTTCCTCGTAATCCTCCTCCTCCTCCTCCCCCTCGCCCTCCTCCTCTCGCTCATCCTTATCCTTCCAACCCCTGTTCTTCCCCTCTTCCTCGTCATCCTCCTCACTCCCATCCTCTGATTTACCCACCCCATCCTCCCTCCCACCTTCCATCCATTCCTTTCCATCTGACCCTCTCTCCTTGTCACTCCCGAACCTGCGCATGAACCTGGACCCTGAACCTCCTCCCGAGCCTCCTCCGTCCTTGCCCCGGGGGCTCCTCTGGTGCGGATTGAGCTTCGGCGCGTCAGAGGAGGTTCGGAGGAGCCCGGTTTTGAGCTCTAGCTTCCTTGCGTGGGGTAGTTCATACACTCTGTTCTGCACCTTAGGCACCCAGGGAAACTCCCTGTTATCCCCCTTAGTAGCCTCCTCAGTCTGTCCGCTGGAGAGACCTTTGGGGCTGGAAGGTGTAGAAATGGTTCGCCTATGGTGCTGGTGTTGGTGCTGGGGCTGGCGCTGGTGCGGCTGCTGTTGCTGATGGTGATGAGGATTGTAGGGTGGATGAGAAGAAGCCAAAAAGGAAGCTTCCAGCTGCTGCTGCTCAGGTTCCCTTAAGTTCTGCCCCTCTTTACCGTCCCACTGTGTCTGACGGTGGAAACGCGACAAAAGATGATCCATCTCGCCTTCTCCCACCGCCTCTACTGCCTCTTCTACTCCTCCACTCCCTTCCACTTCCTCTGCTTCCCCTCCGACTAATCCAACTGTAACAGCATCAACTGTGGTCGTACCAACACCCGCTGCCTCACCCCCCTTCCCAGCCTCATCAGAAGCTCTGCAACTCCCCACAGGCAGCTTCCGGGAAAACGTGAGAGAAACCGAGAGGGAGGGAGAAGCAGGGACCTCAAATTCACTCTCTCCTCCACTCTCTCCTCTGCTTTCTTCTCTGCTTTCCTCTCTGCTCTCTCCTCTGCCCTCTGCTGCCCCACTCCCAGCCCCAGTCTTCTCTCCCCTGCTCTCCTCTTCCCCACACGCCTCCTGCTCTCTTCCGTGCCCCGCCTTCCCTATCTGCTCCTTATTCAAAGGATTGGGATTCGCGTCTCTCTCTCCCCCCCTGCTCCCCTCTGCAACCCCACCTCTCTCGCTCCCTTTGCTGCTTCCCTCTGCACTCCCAGCTCTCTCCCTCCCCCTGCTGCTGCTCCTATCAAGCCGGCTCAAAGGAGATTTGGACCGTTGATTTCTCTCACACGACGGGGGGCGAGGAGGGGAGCTACCACTGATCTGGTTACCACCAGAACCATCGTCATCACCACCCCTGTCACTGCCTCTTCCCCTGACCCTCTCCGGCGAGCCTTGGCCCGGACCTGGGCTCGCCGAGCCTGGCAGTGCCGAGGCTACGCTGGAGGTTCGGAGGAAGCCTTGGGGGCGCCTACCCCCGAGCTCCTGTAACAGGAAGGATCGGGCGGCGCTTTGGGCGCGATGGGGGGAGTTGAGGGGCGGGGAGGCATCGCGGGGGGGAGGAGAGGCACTGTGGGGAAGCGGGGGAGAAGAGTCGTGGGCAGGAGGAGGAGAGGGGGTGCGGGGAGGATGAGACGGGGTGTGGTGAGGACGAGGAGGAGAGGGGGTATGGGTAAGAGGAGCAGAGGGCGTGCGAGGGAGAAGGGGGGAGGGGGGTCGTGGCGGGTGTGGGGATAGGGAGCGGGTAAGGGAAGGGGAGGGGAGTTTTGGAGGGTGACGGGAAGGGGAGGAGGCAAGGGGAGGGGGAGGGGCATGAAGTGTGCTGGTGTGATCAGGCGGGGATGAGAGGGGCGATATTACAAGGGGCAATGTTACAGGGGGTGAGATTGGAACAGTAGTGGCAGCAGTGGAAACTGTAGCAGCTGTAGCAGCCATGGCGGCTGTGTCAGCTGTAGCAGCAGTGTCAGCTGCAGGAGCTGCAGCAGCCGTGGAAGCAGCTTCCGGTTCGGCTTCTGCCATTGCGTCGTCTGACCCAGCCATCCCAGCAGATAAAATGCAGGTCGGAGATTTGACAGAATGTGCAGCAGCAGAAGCAGCAGCAGAAGCAGCAGCAGTTGCACGTGCAGCAGCCACAGCACTGGCAGATGCTTGAAAAGCATCCAGAGAACCCCTTCTCTCCCCTCCTTCACCCCATCCTTCTATCCCTTCTCTCCCCCATTCCCTTCCACTATCCCCCCCAACCTCTCCCCCACCATCTCCCGCCTTCGCTCCCCCCTCCTCTCCCACCCCATCCCCTCGCCCATCCCTTCCCTTGCGGCCTGACCGCATGGTTGGGAGCCGAAGCTTCACTGACGGCCGGGACCACGGCCACACCCCGCCTCCCGAGCCTGATCCAGCACCCGAACCTCCGTGCGAGCCTGCCTCCGCACCTGACGCGTCCGGTTCGGCAACGCGGGGGGAAACAGGCGGGTGAGGCACCGTGGGTAGGGGGTGGGCAGGCGGAGGGGAGGGGGAGCGGCGATGAGGGGAGGGAGAGCGGTGTTTGGTGAAGGGGAGGGGGAGGGGGAGGATTCGGAGGCCTTTCATGTCTGGAGTGCTGGGGAGAGACATGAGGCGCCGGTGCCGCCGCGGCTTTTGCTCTGCCTGCTGCTGCTGTTGCTGCTGGGGCTGCTGGGGGTTCTGTTGCTGCTGCTGCTGCTGCTGCTGCTGCTGCTGCTGCTGCTGCTGCTGCTGCTGCTGCTGCTGCTGCTGCTGCTGCTGCTGCTGCTGCTGCTGCTGCTGCTGCTGCTGCTGAACCTGCTCTAGCTGCAACTGCAGGTGAAACTGCTGAAACACGTTCTCAGACTCTTGTTGCTTATCTGACCGGTGATCAGCCACCTGCACCCCTTCCAACCACTCTCCACCTGGCATTTCCGCCTCGAAACCGTCCCCGCATGCAGCAGAGCCAGTGCTGGAAGCAGGGGAGGGGCCAGTGGAGGAGTGGGCGCACAAGGAGCGAGCAGCTGACATTGAGTGGGCGGATAAGGAGCGCACAGGCACGGGGCGAGCAGCAGGGGACCAAGCGGCAGGAGAATGGGCGGCAGACGAGGTTTGCGACTGAGGCTGGGACTGTAACGAGGGTGACTGTAACGAGTGGTGGAACGACCGGAAATCCTCGTTGGTGGTGCTGCGGTGGCGGTGGTGGTTGTGGTGGAGCGGCGGCGTCTTGTTTTTCCAGAGGAAGCGGGAGGAGGAGAAGGAGAGAGAGCTGGAGGGCGGCAGCGGGGGAGGGGCAGCGGACGGGGATGGCGTGGGCTGGCCCCCACTGCTCCCACCAGTAACCCCCGTTACCCCTCCTACGGCCCCTCCTACGGCCCCTCCTACAGCCCCTCCTACGGCCCCTCCTACGGCCCCTCCTACGGCCCCTCCTTCTCCCACCCCTCCTCCCACCCCTCCTGCTCCTGCTGCTCCTGCTGTCCCTGCGCCAGGGGAACGTTTGGGGAGGCCGAGGTCGTGGTGAGAGGCGCTTCTACGGTGGAACGACAGCCCTGCCCGCCGAACAAACCCCGCCACCGACCCGCCTCCTCCTCCTCCTCCTCCTCCTCCTCCTCCTCCTCCTCCTCCTCCTCCTCCTCCTCCTCCTCCTCCTCCTCCTCCTCCTCCTCCTCCTCCTCCTCCTCCTCCTCCTCCTCCGCCGCTCTCCTTCCTGCCGCCGCTGCCGCTGCCGCCATTGCCGATGCCGCTGCTGTTGCTGGTGTTGTCAGCTGCGGTGTTGCTGCTGCTTCTGGCGCCACCGATACCGCTGCTCACGCTGATTGACGCCCGGGGGAAAACTCTTGGTGAGACTGGCACACTTGTCCCCCCTCTGCTTCCTCCTTCCGCCTCTGCTTCCTTGCCTCCCATCAGTTCGGCTCCTGCTGCTGCTGCCGTTCCTCCTCCCCCTTCTCCACCCCCTCCTCCTTCTGCTCCGCCTGTCTCCCTTTCTGCCTCCCCTGCTCCAGCCTCAGACTGTTTAGGAACGGAGAAAAGGCCTCGAGTAATAGGGGAGAGAAGGGGCACAGCAGCAACAGCACCCACAGAGTGCCTCCTAGCGTGCCGAGTCCTCTCCCGCACACTCCCACCCAGCCTCTTCCCCCCGCTTATCAGTCCCCCGAACAGCCCCCCTCCGCCACTGCTGCTTCCCCTCACGGATCCCGCTCTGCTGCTGCTCCTGCTGCTCCCACCGCTCCCACCACTCCCACCACGCGCACCACTGCTCCCACTGGCGCTTAGCATTCCGCCAGCACTTAGCTCGTCACCAGGGCTGAACCCAGGGGGGCTGTTGCTGGTGGCCGGGCTGCTGGCGCAGAGAAGCGCGCGGGGGCTCATCAGGGGGCTCTTCCCCCCGCTGCTCCCGCTGTGCGTGGGCGGAATGACAGGGGGAAGCCCAGGGGGAAGTCCGGGGGAGAGCCCGGGGGAAGGCAGGGGAATGGGGGGAAGGTGGGAGTGCGCGCGGGAGGAGCGGGAAAGCGGGCTGGATCGGGGGGAGCGGTTGGCATAGGGGGGCGTGGTGGCCCCTGAGGGGGAGGCGAAGGCGGAAAGGGGCGGAGGGGGGAGGGCGGAAGCAAAGGCGGAGAGGGGAAGAGAGTCCACGGGTAGAGGGCTTGTGTTGGGGGTGCCTTGGATCGGCTCTAGCACCATACTAAGTGACCTCCTACTCTCCCTCGCCTCCCTCCCTTCCCTCCCCTCCCTCCCCTCACGCCCCTCCCTCGACTCCCTCCCCTCGCGCCCTTCCCTTCCCTCTCTTCCCCCGTCTCTACTGCTGAGGCTGCTGCTGCTGCTCCTTCCGCTGGTGCTGCCAATATCTCCGCCAATGCTCCCATACGGGGCGGAAAACCAGCCTGTTCCGCCATATCCCCCTCCCCCGCCCCCGCTGCTACCCCCAGCAGTCCCACCCCACCCACCACTTCCCCCCCACCCCCCACTTCCGCCGCAGCCTCCCCCACTCCCCCTGAGGCCTTCCCCGAACGCCCCACGCACGCTCCCCCCTGCCCTCCTCACTCCCTCCCCTTCACCCCCTGCCCCGCCCCCACCCCCGCCCCCCTCCCTCCGCGCGCCTCCCCCCACTCCCCCCCCATCCTGGGAAGCTTCCGAGAAGCTGTGGCTCCTGCTGTGGCGCAGGCTCCGTCTGACCGCCCATCCGCTTCCCCCGCCCGCCCTGCCCGCCCCCCCAGGGGCGGAAAGGGGGGCGCCTGGGGGGGTAGACCTGCTCCGCGGAACCTCCTCTAGGGATTCTCCACAGGCGGGGGGAGTGGGGCGGCCGTTATAGGACGCGGAGAGGGGGGCGGAAGGGGGCAGCGGGGGGAAGGGGAGGGGGGAGGGGGTAGAGGCGGAGGAGGAGGAGGACGGAGGACCAAAGGCTCCCCCTGCTGCCCCTGCGCCCGCCCCTATGCCTGCGCCCGCCCCTGCCCCTTCTGCAAGGAATCCCCCCCCCTCGTTTCCGCCCCCCTTGGATCTCCCCCCAAGGTGCACGTCCACTAGGAGGTTCCGCCACGCCCTATAACGGGACTGGGAGGATGATAACGCGGACAACGACTGGCCTGCTGAATTCCCTTCCGCCCTGCCCGCCCCGCCCGCCCCTCCTATAGGCACCACTCCCCCTGCTTTTCCCCCTTCCGCGGACCCTGCACTGCGGGTCCGGCCAAACGCCATGCTCGCGCCCCCCTGCGCCCCCCCCTGCGGCTCCCCCTGCGGCTCCCCCTGCGCCCCCCTTTGCGCCAACCCCCCTTCCCCCAGCCCGTCAAGGCGCATGTTTAGCTGGTCCTGGGCGGAAAAGGAGGGCGGATAGGCGGAATCAAAGGAGGGCGCATACACGGAGTTGAAACTCCTAGACCTCAGACCCCCCTGGGACAGCGCCGCCCCTACCTCCCCCTCATCCTCCCCATTCCCCGCTTCTCCACCCCATTCCTCCCGATTCCCCCGCTCACCATACCCCCCCTCACCACTTCCCCCCTCGCCAATCCCCCCATCACCTCCCCGCCGCCCTGCCGCCGCCTCTGCTGCTAAATCTCCCGCGGAATCCACCTGCTGCTGCTGCTGCTGCTGCTGCTGCTGCAAGCCAGATAGGTCCATTCCCCCCAGCGCGTCGCTCCCGAACGCCTGGGACGGCCGCTTTCTACCCGCCAAACCCTCAGAGTCCCGAGAGTCCCGAGAATTCGGAGATTTCGGAGAATCTTTAGAGATTTTATAGATTTGGGGATTGTCAAAGACCGTCTGCTGAATAGCGGAAAGGTCTAGTCCCCCCAGAGCGTCGCTGCCAAACGCCTGGGACGGCCGCCGCAGCCGCCCGAGAAACCGGCTGACCGTCTGGCTGCCGCCCAGCTTTTTCAGCCCTGCCTGCCCGCTGCCGCCCGGTTTCTTCGACCCCGCGCCCCGCACACTGCGGAATCCGAACCCTCCTCCGCCGCCTCCCCCTCCTCCCCCTCCTCCCCCTCTGCCTCCCCCTCCGCCTCCGCCTGCGCCCCTGTCTCTGGTTCGCGCTCCCTCTTCCCCCTCCTCCGCATCACTATCATCACTATCCCCGCCCGTGACCAGGCCACTGACACTGTGCCTCCTCCCCCTAACCCCCCTTCCCCCTACCCCTCCCCCTCCCCCTCCCCCTCCCCCTCCCCTTCCCCCTCCCCTTACCCCTCCCGCCTCCGCTCCCGCTCCCGCTCCTACTCCCGCTCCCCCTCCCCCTCCTATCCCCCAATCGTCATCCGAATCCTCCTCTTTCCCCTCCCCGTCCTCCCCATCCGCGCCCGCTTTCTCCCCCTCAAATTCATCCGGGCTATCCCACGAGTCCACCATGAAACTACTCCCAAACACTGGCGCCACGAGCGTCTTAATATCCTGCTCGTCAATCACCGCCTTGTCCTTATTCGCCGAATCTGTCGCGTACGACTCGGCGAAGATCCGAACCGCAGGTCCGGACTGGGGCTTCCGGTGCAGCAGGTTCGGGGAGAGCAGCAGGTCGCCCATATCCTCGTTATCAGCTGCCCCGCTACGCAGCAGCTGCCACGCTGCGTGCGCCTGAGCGACGATTTCCATAACCTTGTCTTGCCCGGCCTTGCCCTGGCTTAGCGTCAACACTTTGGTCTTTTCACCTGGGACATTGGGAGGCATGGGGGGACAGAAACATAAAGAGCTGGAAATATTAGGTCGCGAATGCAGACCAGACATGTCGCGAATTCGCGAAAGCCAGTCGCAAATGCAATCCAGAAGCGTCTCCACGTTCTCGTCGCTCAGGTCCTGAAACCATATTTCCTTACTACCCACTCTCGTCGCTCAGTCTCACGTCCGCAGTGCCGGCCGGCGCGAAGCCAGTCGCGAATGCAGTCCAGCAGCGTCTGCACGATCCCCCCCAAGTTCTCGTCGCTCAGGTCCTGAAACCACCTTTCTCCACCACCCTCCTGTCCCTCACGCCACAATGCGCCATCCTCTCACCTCCACAGTGCCGGCCGGCCCTTGGCAAATCGCGAATGCAGTCCAGCAGCGTCTGCACAATCCCGGCAACGTTCTCGTCGCTCAGGTCCTGAAACCACCTCTCTCTGATACCCTCCTCTCGCCGCCAAAGGCCCCAACCATTCTCTTCTGAACGACCCTTCACTGAAATTCTCTCCCACTCTTCCTCTCTCCTTTTCTCCCTCTCAACTCACAATGCGCCATCGTCTCACCTCCACAATGCCGTCCCGCGCGCAGCCAGTCGCGAATGCAGTCCAGAAGCGTCTGAACAATTCCCGCCACATTCTCGTCGCTCAGGTCCTGAAACCCCGACGGGTCGTCCGTCGCAATCCCCACCACCTTCCACGAAAGCTGGAACCCGCGCGGATCCACCAGCACAAACGCCGCTAGCGGCTCGACCGCGTAGGCCTCGCCTAACTGCCGGACCTGGCTACCTATGTCGATTAACTCCACGGGACTGTCGTCTAAGGGCAGGTTCCCGAATTCCGGGCAGCGCGTGGACGAGTCGGCCCAGGTTTGCGGGAACACGCCGAAGTTCCACGGGATCGGGTCGGCGAAGCGCATGGGTTTGTTATTGCGTAACCGCATTCGCAGCGGCGCGAGGCGTTCGCGAACGGCGACCTCGTAGTCGTCCTGGCAGCCCTTGGGAGTGAGGCAGACGGCGTTGAAGGTTCCGTTGGAAGAATGCAGAGGCACGTCGTGCCACGGCGACACCTCGTTAGAAGCATCGTCGATTAGCGTCACGCGGAAGGAATTTCCTCCCGGCGTTCCCAAGGTTACGGGGGTCCACGTGCCGGGAGCTGGAGTGGGCACGTTAAAGACACGCTTTTCACCCGCCTCATCCGGCTTGCCGGTCCCTTCCGTCTTGTCGTCCACCTCTTCTTCCCCCTCTTCCTCCTCCTCGTCCTCCTCGTCCTCCTCTTCCTCCTGTTCGTCATCTGCTTCGTCCTCGTCCGTATCCATTTCGCTTTCCTCTCGCCATTTCTCGCCAAGATTCGGATACATTTTCGTATCGTCGACGAGAGCCATGGCTATATTTTCGCTCAGGCGTAGAATAACCCCGTTCTATGTTCTAAAGCTAACGCATTTCGCAGGGGTAACGCATTTTGAAGGGGTGCGGCGCATTTGGCACGAGTAGCGCATTGCGCACGAGCCATGCATCGTCATCGACCTACATTGTACCACGCGCCGTCTTACCGTCCTCACAAGCCATTGCAAGTCCTGGCTGGTGGGAAATGGAGCGTACTTCACGGTAGCCAACTAAAGCTGGGCTATGGCTACCTCATAACGGGTCCGAAGCTCAACTGCTTGGCTACCTCATAATGGGTCTGAAGCTCAACTGCTTTTGCAGGTGGTATGGACAGAAACCCTAATGGCATGTTCATTGCTCGAACACATGCTGTTCAAATCAGCTGCTGCACAGGTCAATCACGGTACATTGTGTTTCAGTACGGTATCGAGTGTTATCAGCCCCATCTGCCTGCTTTAATTTACAACAGTACGCGACCAAAACAGAACCATTACAGAGCAGAGCTGCCTTGCGGGGGTGTGGTGGACCAAAATCCGAGCTGCCCCCATGTTACTACACACCACGGCACTGCAACACACCGCACCGTTTAGAAACGTATGTGGAAGGCGTGAACACTTGGTCCAGACCGCTCAGTGCTCACCCTCGCCAAAAAATCAACATAAATATGTTGCCGTCGTCAGGCATGTGTAATAGAAGTGACCCGTTTGGGAAAACCGGAATCTTTTGTTGCATGCGACCGAATTGACGCGTCCTCCCTGCCCACACAACCCACTGCAATCCCCACAAGCTGGAGCAAGCTGTGGACAGCTAGCGAAAGTGGGGTCTTGTGGTCATGTAACCCGCCGTAAGGACAGGAAGCTCCGTCCCTGTGATCGCTGAGAGATTCACGACGGAACGACTTCCTGTGTAATTGGATGGATCAGCATTCACGAAGCGAACGACGAACCTTCCTTCTTCTCCACTGCTCGACGACAATCCCGTCGAACTGTTTTCGCAATTTTCCTCCGTGCTGTACTTCACTTGGCGACAAGAGGTTGGCACCCCAGTCTAACATCGTGTTACTGTGTATCCCGTTCCATGACTGGCAATCTGGGGATTCACACGCGTGAATTTGCCAGCCTGGCTTGAGTGGTTCACTATAGGCATGACAGCTATACATAGCTGTTGCTAGGCTGGTTGTGAGCTGTCTCTCGAAACAGGTGTTAACTCTGGAACTTATCAAGCAAGCATAGAGATAATTTCTCTTACATCTCTGATTCACTAATGTCATAATGTTGACCTCAACTCTTTCTTCTTGCAGAAGAGGTATTCTATGCTACATACAGTATCTTTTTCTGGATACAAATGGTGGATATCCAACTGCCCGCACAGCGTAATGTAACACATTACTTTCAAAACAGCAACATTTTGCCAAATACCTAATCAAGTGACATCGCACAGCATTTCTATTATTAACTGTTAGGCAAGTTATTTAGTGTCACAACCGGTCCAGTTGGGCGTGTGCAGTCAAGTGCCTGCACCACAACGGATTGCAATAAAAGTTACAAGTTTTAAGTATGATTCACAAGTGTTCAAGGTGCAAGCAACCACACACAAATAGCGACTCACATTTCATAGCAGCCCAACCAACACGGTTCTCCTCCTGATCGTGAATCACAATGAAATCCCTCATCCATAGAGCTGGAACGGAGGGGGAATTGGGAGAGTGAGGGGGAGGGGTAACTTGATGGTGGCTCAGGAGGAATGTCTGAGTGGAGAGCATAACTGGCGATTATACACCCAAAAAATCGAATCGCAACCACGAATCTCACACAAGGGGCAAAGGTGGAGGGCAATATAAAAACATGTTCACTGGATATGTGAGCAAGTGCCAAATAAATCTGTACCGACTGCTTTGCGAGAGAAATACGAGCACCACTCCACCACAGTGCATGCCTTCGCAGCACCCAGTCTGCTTTGCTGGATTGCACTCACGACAAGAGTACCACGCAGTGAAATGTTGGTGTGTGCCAACCGTGCTTCCCCCCCGCCGAGCCTTGCCGCCCAATGTGCATTGCCGCCCAATGTGCCATGCTGTCCATTGTGCATTGCCGCCAACGTGCCATGCTGCCCATTGTGCCTTGCCGGCCACCGTGCGTTCCCGGCCATTGTGCCATGCCTTTCTAGGCCATGTGCCTTCGCATCCAGCATGCTGCTCACCTCCAATGATGAAGGCCAGTCCGTGGGGGGCCTTCATGGTATCAGACCCCAGCACCACCTGCGTGCACACTATCTCTACCCCCTCGTCCTGGTGGTGGTGGCCGGGTGGGATGGGGTGTGGGAGGAATTTGTGGCTTCTTCGCCATCTCAAACCTGTCCAGTCATACCGAAACTCGCTCGGGGCCTTCATGGTATCAGACCCCAGCACCCCCTGCGTGCACACTATCTCCACGCCCTCGTCCTGGTGGTGATGGTAGAGGGGGGATCGGGGGGAGGGGGGTGGGCAAAGGACATGCGGCTTCTTAGCCGTCTCAAAGCTGCTCAGTCATCTCCATAACTCGATGAGGGCCTTCATGGTGTGTGACCCCAGCACTACCTGCGTGCACATGATCTCCACGCCCTCGTCCGGATGGTGGTGGGGGGGTGGGAAAGGAAGGATGGATTCACGATTTCAGAACACACATGAGAAGTTGAACCAAGCTCATCACGGCATCTTGCCGCATACCAGTGTTCACCTTCGCCTTGAAGTGTACGTGTGGGGCGGCAGGTTCATGCACACATAATGGCATGTGGGATGTTCACCACGCCCACCATGGATGTTCACCGCATGTCAGCGCTCACCATGGCTTTAAAGGTGTACGTGTGGGGTGGTAGATTCATGAACACGCCCCTCCCTTCAAATTGCAGGTTGATGTGGGGGAAGCGGTTCCTCACGTCCTCTGCTGTCAGCCTGGTGAGAGAAGAGAGTGAATGGAAGAGTAGGTGGGGAGTGGGTATCGAGGGTGAGGGAAGAATGGGCATGCCGGTTCGTTGCAGGTTGATGTGAGGGAAGGGGTTCCTCCTCTGCATACAGGCTGGCAAGAGAAGAGAGTGAAGAGAAAGGGGAGAGGGGGAAGGAGAGTGCAGGGAGCAAAGGGGCTTGCAGGATAGTTGCAGGTCGATGTGGGGGAAGCGGTTTCTCGCGTCCTCTGCTGTCAGCCTGGCGAGAGAAGAGAGTGAAGGGGAGGAGAGAGCAGGGGAAAAGGAGCTTGACGGATCATTGCGTGTTGATGTGGTTGCAGCCATTAAAGCGGTACCTCATGTCCTCTGCTGTCCTTTGGAAATCGACTGTTAAGGCGCCTCAAAGGTCCTCTGCTGTCCTTTGGAAATCGACTTTTGAGGCGTCTCAAAGGTCCTCTGCTGTCCTTAAGAAATCAACTTTTGAGGCGCCTCAAAGGTCCTCTGTTGTCCTTTGGAAATAGACTTTTGAGGCGCCTCAAAGGTCCTCTGCTGTCCTTTGGAAATAGACTTTTGAGGCGCCTCAAAGGTCCTCTGCTGTCCTTTGGAAATAGACTTTTGAGGCGCCTCAAAGGTCCTCTGCTGTCCTTTGGAAATCGACTTTTGAGGCGCCTCAAATGTCCTCTGCTGTCCTTTGGAAATCGACTTTTGAGGCGCCTCAAATGTCCTCTGCTGTCCTTTGGAAATCGGGGAGTGTACAGAAAGAGCGAGGGCGGAGAGGGATGGGGAAAGGGGGAAGCAGAGCACAAAGACACACGTAACTAGGTTCATGCACACACATCCCTTCTCGCACACGCTCATGCGCACACACACGCACACTCCCACTGGCACACACTTACTTGTCAGTGGAAGAAAAGCAGAGCGAGCCCTCCTTGCCAATGGAGAAGGCATAGCGAGGCAGCCCCACTGCCGTCTGAATCTGAGGGGGCCAAGAGGGAGTACATGAAAGGCGCGAGGGAAGGGAAGCACAAGGGAGTGAAGGGTGAGGAGATGGAGAAGGCATAGCGAGACAGCCCCACTGCTGTTTGGATCTGAGGGGGAACAAAAGAGAGAGCAAGTTAAAGGTACAAGACAAGGCATGGCGAGCCAGTCCCACTGCGGTACTTCCGTTTGACTTTTGAGTCGACTCAAAAGTCAACTCCGTTTGAGTCAGATCAAGCCTCACCTTGTTTCAATGCGTCACCATCCTTTTCCTTTACCCGGAAGGAAAAACGTCTTAGCACGTGAGCGAATTTTCAGCCGAAACAATGAGAGCTTGACGGACTCACGAGGTGGAAGTGGGGCGGGACAAAGCTGACTTTTGAGTCGACTCAAAAGTCAGCTCAATTTTCAGCCGAAACAAAGAGTGCTTGATGGACTCACGAGGTGGAAGAGGGGCGGGACGAAGAGAGGCGGCATGATGGAGTAGGTGGTGCCGCTGTCAAAGATGGCATTGCCGTGCGTCAGATTAACATACTGTGCTGGATTCACTGCCACCTCTATTCCCCCCACGAATACCTTCCTCAGTGTCACTTTGTAGAATCTGTGCGCAGGGGGGAATGAGAAGAGAATGGGGGGGATGGAAGTGAGGGGTTATTGAGTTGCACTGCGCCGAGTTGAGTGCACCCTCCACCCTCCCACAAAGGCACTGCGGAGTGTTACTCTGAAGAAGCTGATGAGAGGGAGTTAGTTTGGGAAAGATGGCAGGTGACATGGAGACATGGGGAGGATACGGGTGGCAGGTGGTAGGGGGTTGGTGGCTTTGACAAATCCAGGTGTAAGCATCCATGCTTCCTCTGGTCGCAGGGGAGTGAAGGCGGTGAGAGGGGGGATGGGAAGGTTACCCACTGTCATCCACCTCTTCAGGGGGACTGGGTGCAAATTCCAGGTACCTAGACGCAACCATAAAGACTAAGCTTCAATACCAGGCAGCAGGACTCACATGTCTTTTGGTCGCAGGGGAGTGAAGGCTATGAGAGGGGGGATGGGGAGGTCCCCCATTGTCATCCACCCTCTGAGGGGGATTGGGTGCAACTTTCAGCAACTTTCAGCAACTTTCAGCAACTGAAAGCAACTGAAAGCAACTTTCAGCAACTTTCAGCAACTGAAAGCAACTGAAAGCAACTGAAAGCAACTGAAAGCAACTTTCAGCAACTGAAAGCAACTGAAAGCAACTGAAAGCAACTTTCAGCAACTGAAAGCAACTGAAAGCAACTGAAAGCAACTGAAAGCAACTGAAAGCAACTGAAAGCAACTGAAAGCAACTGAAAGCAGCTGAAAGCAACTGAAAGCAACTGAAAGCAACTGAAAGCAACTGAAAGCAACTGAAAGCAACTGAAAGCAACTGAAAGCAACTGAAAGCAACTGACAGCAACTGAAAGCAACTAACAGCAACTGAAAGCAACTGAAAGCAACTGAAAGCAACTGAAAGCAACTGAAAGCAACTGAAAGCAACTGAAAGCAACTTTCAGCAACTTTCGGCAACTTTCAGCAACTTTCAGCAACTTTCAGCAACTTTCAGCAACTTTCAGCAACTGAAAGCAACTGAAAGCAACTGACAGCAACTGAAAGCAACTGACAGCAACTGAAAGCAACTGACAGCAAAAGCAACCCCATCACTCACGTGTCATCTGGTCGCAGGGGAGTGAAGGCTGTGAGGGGGGGTATGGGGATGTCCCCCACTGTCATCCACCCGCCCCCACTGTCGCCCCCTAGACAGTGCGCCACCACCTGCCTGCTCTCCAGGGGAGGAAGAACGGAGAGGGGAGGAGGAGAGGAAGGAGAGGAAGGTGGTGAGGGGGGGTATGGGGATGTCCCCCACTGTCATCCACCTGGGCCCACCTGTCGCCCCCTAGACAGTGCGCCACCACCTGCCTGCTCTCCAAGGGCGGAAGAACGGAGAGGGGAGGAGGAGAGGAAGGAGAGGAAGGTGGTGAGGGGGGGTATGGGGATTTCCCCCACTGTCATCCACCTGGGCCCACCTGTCGCCCCCTAGACAGTGTGCCACCACCTGCCTGCTCTCCAAGGGCGGAAGAACGGAGAGGGGAAGAGGAGAGGGAGGAGAGGGCACCGTATTGCATTCCACTGCATTGCATTCCACTGCATTGCATTCCACCGCATTGCATTGCATTTCTTGTGGGTTTCAGCGGAGCATTCCCCTGCCAAGATCTATAAGCCCATCTACAGCCTGGTAGTACGTCCATCTGCATCACATCACACCTACCAGCACCGCACTGAACCACATTTCACCGCACTGAACCAGAGCTCACCGAATGGGGAAGAACTCCTTGTAGGCTCCAACGGCTGTGAGCAGAGAGAGCGACCCCCTGCCCAGCCCTATGAGCCCGTCCAGGGCCTGGTAGTAGGTCCAGCCCAGGCCGTTGTAAAAGTTGCCCTGCTGGGAGTTCCCACAGCTGTTGATAGCAATGTGTCGAGAGGGGTGGAGAGGGATGCAGAGAGGTGGGGAGTGATGTGGGGAGGGGTAATGGTAGCCCTATGATGAGCCCGTCTAGAGCCTGGTAGTGCGTCCAGCCCAGGCCGTTGTATAAAGTTGCCCTGCTGTGAGTTGTCATAGCAGTTGACAGCAGCAGGCAGGTGTTGAGGGATTGATACGGGCAGATCAGCCCATCATTGCACAGGAACCACAGGCACGGTGTTACACATACTCATGTTTAAAGGCGCATGTGACACATGCACATGTTACAACACAGTCACATCACATGCTACACATGCACATTTTATGCAGTCACATCACATGCTACACATGCACATACCCAAAACGTGATGGGAACTTTGAAGGCTCGGGCAGACCCGAAAATGGGCAGATGGATGTCGCGGGGTGAGGGATGACGAGAGGTGAGGAGTGATGGAAGAGCGGTACAGAGAGGTAAAGGTAGCCCTATAAGCCCGTCAGGGCACATGAAACGCAGGCACATATGACACAGACACATACCCAAACGTGATGGGAACTTTGAAGGCTCTGGCAGATCCGGAGATGGGCAGATGGATGACGTCACCAAGCAGGCGCCCTGACGTCCCACTCCCATCCCCGTACGCTACTGAGTACATACACCCCAAATCCTCGGCCTCCGAACCTCCTGCCGAGCCTTTGGCCAGAGGTTTGGCGGTGACATTGCAGTTGCGGATCTTGACGGTTCGGTCGGGGTTGATGCACGCCTTGTTGGAGCATTGAAGGAGCTTGACTGAAGAGGATTTGGTCGAGTCGAAGGGCGGATTCGTTTGCTGCACAGAAAAAGGGGAGAGGGAGAATTGAAGGGCTGAGGTCAGGTTAGGTCAGGTTGATGCATGTATTGTTGGAGCATTGAAGGAGCTTGACTGAGGTTGACTTGGTGGAATCAAAGGGCGGGTTGGTTTGCTGCACACGGTGGGTGAGGGAGCGGGGACGGGAGTGAGGGAGGGTTAAGGGGAGGGGGGGGGGAGGATGGAAGAGGAGGGGAGGGAGGGGGAACGGGAAGGAAACGGGGCAAGAGGGAGGGAGGGGGGAAAGGAAGTCTGGCAGGGGAGTTCGAGTCGACCTACTAACAGAAACAGGAACAGGGTGACTCACTAAGAGCAGACTCACCAGTGTCTTAGAGAGCGTGCAGGGGTTGCAGGGCAAGCAGTTGACCCAGAGCAGGTTGCTGCCCGTGTCTATGTCCAGATTGAATGTCTGTGGCGGCGTGCCGATGCCCAGCTGCACGTAGTATATTCTGCATGTGGGGAGAATGAGGAGTCAGGTTGGGAGGAAGGGAGGAGACGGGGGGAGGGGGAAAGGGGAGAGGGTAAATTGGCATGCAGTTGAGCCAGAGCAGGTTGCTGCCCGTGTCTATGTCCAGCTTGAATGTCTGTGGCGGCGTGCCGATGCCCAGCTGCACGTAGTATATTCTGCATGTGGGGAGAATGAGGAGTCAGGTTGGGAGGAAGGGAGGAGACGGGGGGAGGGGGGAAGGGGAGAGGGTAAATCGGCAAGCAGTTGAGCCAGAGCAGGTTGCTGCCCATGTCTATGTCCAGATTGAACGTCTGTGGCGGCGTGCCGATGCCCAACTGCACGTAGTATATGCTGCACGCGGGGCGGATGGGGAGTGAGAGTGGGGTGAACAAGATATAAGGTGGGGAGGATGGGGAGTCAGGGCGGGCGAGAGAGATGGGCAGATGGGGAGTAAGTTTGGGGGTGAAGAGAGGCGTGAGATAGGCAGGCAGTTGACCCAGGGCGGATTGTTCCCCATGTCAAGACAGCCCAGGACAGCCATGTCAATTGAAATATTGGGGTGTAATCCTACCCGTTAGGGTATGTGGCCCCCAGCAGCCCTGCTGTAGCCGTTATTCCCAGGTTCCTCCCACGATGGTTACTAGCACCACCGCCTCCTTCTCCTCCTTCTCTTCCTCCTCCTCCTCCTCCACTCGATTCACTCCCTTCTCCCTCCATTCCGCCCTCCTGCCCCTGAACCATCAACATCCGTGACCTGTGCCGAGCCTTGTCACTCTCCACTAGCGACAGATAATGCTGCCCAAACGCGTGCCCAGCAGACGAATTCTCCTGCGAGTTCCACGAAGCCGCAGAAGCCGCCGCTGACGTGGCAGGCCTGGGCACGGGGAGTGACGAGGCCGCGGGAGGCTCGGGCGCCGGACGGAAGTGGTCCGGCATGGAAGCCGTAGCGGCGGTGGTGGCGGCGGAAGGTCGAGAAGCCAATCGGCTGTTGATCCGCAAAACGTGGAGCCCGTGTACGCCGTCGATGAGATCAGCGAACGCACGAGGACCTTTCCGGCCGTCCGTCATGCTTTTCTCAGCGGTTATGTCGGGAAATGATCCAGCGGAGGCGCGGCGTCCCGAGCAATCCTCGGAGGTCCCCCCAGCCTGGCAGCTTGAAAGACCACCGAAATGATTCTCAGAAGTACTATCCCCGTTAGTGCCAGGCATGTTACTCGTTTCGTGAACGGGCACTGACGACGCTGTGATGATCGTCTTTGTGGGGTATAATAAGCCTGTGGCTAGGAATGCGACGAATAAGCATGACGGGAGGTTCAGCGAGTGACGGAGAGAGTGACGCCTTCGCAAGGGACTTGACGTGAGGGGTCTGGTAGACGGTCTTGAGGGCATTCTGGTAGATGGTCTTAAGCAGCGGATCGAGGTATTATTGAATGAGAAGTGCGCGCGACCTGCGCTGCGGGCTTCTGTACTTCTTCCTTGTGTTTTGTTTAGGACCTCGGACGAGAGGAGGTACACTGGATTTCTGAAGTTACCACCATCAGCACACCTAGTGGTACCCATTGCAAGACATTTCAACAAAAATTTATTCTAAGATAAAAGCTTGAATGATTCAGCGTCACTGTGATACCTTGACCGACGAATACGACAACGCTACCATCTCGGGGGAGGAAGGGCTACTATACCGCGCAAATCTGTCGCATAAGGGAAGGTGCTTAGGACTCCTTAATCAACGGAAATTAGACGGAGTGACAAACAAATAGCAGTGGACGACTGCGATCTTATGCTAGGAAAGTGATAATAAGAGGACTCCTGATCCTAGAGTTGTAAAATATTCCCTGATCGTGGAACCAGCAACTGACTGGGGATGAGCTTGGTGTTGGTCGTCGTGAAATTGGCAAATCGGCAATCCCAGTGTCGTGGCTCGCGTCCTGGTATTTTCCATGCACTGAGGTGGTTCTCCCAGGTGTTCCGTTTGAGTTTAGCAAGTGCTTGTGCTGGAAACGGAACACTAGGAGGAGGGTTGTTCGAATCCAGTTCCCCGTCCAATTGGAACGCCGATTGCATAATGCTCATCGCGACTCCACCAGCATGTCAGAATGTCAGTCTGCAATCAGAACCGCAATACAAGATGCTTTGCTGTGTAATCGGAATATCAAGTTCGCACTTTACATTACTACCTTGTCCTATGTTACAGCTTATCGTCAGTGATTCAATATAGAAATAAAATGTATTTAAAACCGAACGCTTAGTTTATATATAGATAATTGGCTAGAAAATCACATGCCTGATTTATGCTAAGCAATGTAAGGTTCATGTGTCGTTTCCCAGGCTATGAGAATCATAATACAGCCTTTCCCTACGCCTTTATGATATTGCAAATACTTCGTTACAACCAGAATGAATAAGACCTGCAATCATGATTGTCATGAAGTTTGACATCCATGACTTGTTGACTACCAATCAAATTCGCAGATAATAATATGTCATCCTGCCAGCGCACCTCGACGAATGGTTCTGCTTGTTTCCAGAGTTGCGTTTCATCCAATCGTAAATCAAGATTCAACTCGCAATCTGACGTCCCTACCCAATCAAACACGTGCCAGGGCCTACATCCGCGATTGCCCGTCTCCGCGGCTTCCAAAATCCTTGGGCTGCTGACGACCATTGCTCACACGAGACGGGAAAACGAACAGATTTCAGGGGGCGGTCAGTCCCACGTTTCTTTCATTTCCTACATCTTTACAAATATTCAACATTGGAGAATCTGTTGGTTAGTTGTGGTGGCCACTAAATCCGTCATTTCAACTTCGAAACAGAGAAACTACCGGTATATTTTCAGCTGCCCGCCTGTTAACCATCATATCCTCTAATGCGCGCTTCGCCAACTCCCTCCCAGCATCAGATTTGTGCACCTACCTCGCCTCTCCCTCCCTCCATCCCATTTCCCCTGCTCCTTCCTCCATCTCTGGACTTGCTACGTTGGAATTGGGGGCTTATTTGTAGAACTTCAGTTGGATGGGCATAATCCAGCACAGCATCTGCTTGGCAGTTTATTTCCTCCACCCCCATCTTCTTACAACCGTCTCGTCTCGCACCACAGGCACACCGTCCAACTCAGACAGAAATTTAGCTTCTAAGTGGTTCATCCATTTGACACCTGTGTGTTGCCTTCTTACAGCCGTGTTTTACCAGTCACGGTCTGCCGACTGAGGCTACTCAAATAGCACGCGCCAAGCGTGTGGGATTTTGCAGCACCGCACGGCACGACGCGAAGTTTCTCTTCCACACCTTCCTCACCCGGTCAGCAGTCTTTTGGGAGAAGCGCATTTGACTTGAAGCAGAGAAAAAACGTGTGTTTCCAAGAGCCACTTCCATATAAGTGTGTCACCATACCCCTCCATTATCATCGTTCGACAGCGGTGACGCCCCCACACTCGATCCGCACAAGTCAACCGAACGCTTACAGGCCTCGCAACTGCGTCATATCCACCTGACAAATTTACCACCACCGGGAAGTCGAGCATCAGAAACTCGCGCTCCTTATCAGTTCCGTGGCATCCGCACTTCGGTTTCTGACCTCTGACGCGTAAATTTGTAACCTTTGTTTCTGAAAATGGCGGCCACAGCAGCAGCAGGCTGCAAGTGCCACCTCCTTCGTCCGCTACCCGCGCCCGCCGCGGCGGCTCGTTTAACTCCCACGAGAACGGCAGTGACGCTGTCTGCGCGTTGCGCAACCAAGCTTCCTGCCGTCCGTGCAACTGCTGCTCCATCCACGGGGAAGCAGCAGTCGCCGCCGGCAACGGCGGGGCCGGCGCAACACGCGGCGATGTCGCACGGCCCCCGCGGGAGCAAGGACACTGCGATACGCGCGACGCCGTCGTTATCCGTCATCGAGCGGGAAGTCACCTCCCTAGACGTTAACGGAGCTTCTGCTTCCGTCAATTCCTTGAAGCCACAACTGGAGCTGGAAATCCTGCCTTCGTTCGTGCCGCAAGAGCTCACAGCCGCAGCAGACATCTCAGAAGCCTTTCTCTCTCCGGAATCCTCCGCAATTCTGTCGCTGCCGGTACTCGAACCCGCGACCTCTCCTCAACGGCAAGAGCCCGAAGTGGAGGCGGCGGAGGAACGCGGAAACAACAGCAGCAGCGCTGAAGTAACGAATGATGCGGGAAAAGAAAACGAGGACGAATGCTGGCGCAGGCTGATGGCGCAGGCTGGGTACTCGAAGCGCATGGAGGCAATCGGCGATGAGTTCTTTGAATCGGACTTGCGGCCTGTCGTCCTCTTCGATGGTGAGACCTCAAACCTCGGACTTAAATGTTCGATGCAGAATTGAACCTTAATCTGCTTCATTTCCTCACAAAGCCATGCTCGTTTGCGCCGTCTCCTTCCGCTCTCTGTCTGCTATCCTTGGCAAATCTGGCACCTATGATCTTTATCTTTTCTCGTCTCTCGTATCTTTATCGTGCGCGTCCTCCGGTTTCCAGGCGTGTGCAACCTGTGTAACAAGTGGGTCAACTTTCTTCTCGACTATGATCCCCACGGGTGAGACGCCGCTTCTGTCTTTCTGTCTTCCCCCAAACCATCGCCTCCTCCCTCCCTTCGTCCCCTTTGTCGCCTCACTCCCCGTCCTCCTCATCCCCCACTCCCCCTTTCTCCCCCTTGTTCCCATGCATTCCCACTCCTCCCTTCCATCCTTTTCTTCGCGCCGTCCTAGTCTTTCCCAACTTCATCCCATCGCGCTTTTAGGTTGCACGTTGCTTCCATCTTGCCTAGCTGCATCTCTCGCTTCGATGTTGAATTCACCCATTTTCCTTGTCTGTCGTTTCCTTGCTTGTTCCGCAGCAACCTGCGCTTCGCCTCGCTGCAGGGCGACTCGGGGAAAGCTCTTCTCCGCCGCGCAGGTCGCGATGAAAACGACCACTCGGACATTGTCCTCGTCGCACACAACAAGTGAGTATTGCGCATGTAGATCGTCTTATACCCCGTACGGTTCACATTTTGTTTCTGTGGAGCCTCTTTCTGATAATCATATTTCTGTTGCGCATACAGCGCATCTTTTTACTGCGTACAAGCACACACAAATTTCCACATCTATACATCCGAGCACCCAAGTCCCCTGGTCTCTGACAGGGAAAAGGCACTCCTAACTTCATTAACATCCTCCTCTTACACCCACCCTCCCTCCCCCGTCCTCTTCCGCTTTCTTCCTTCCAGGGCTTATTTAGGCTCTGATGCAATCCTCCAGATCTTCTCCCGGCTGAAGCCGCCTTTCCCTCTGCTGGCCGCCGCGGGCCACATCACGCCGCACGCACTCCACAACTTCATCTACAAGCACGTTTCTGAAAGCCGGTACACGCTCTTTGGCAAGGCAGACGCATGTCGACTCTTTGACCCTCGGTTCGGACAACGCTTCTTGCCCAGCGACCTGAGTCAGAAGTAGGAGTTTGAGTCAGCACACATCACGTCGCAACTTCCAACACTCGAATCACAAGAAAGTTTCTGCAAGTCGGTATACGCTCTTTGGCAAGGCCGACGCGTGCAGCCGGTTTGACCCCCGCTTTGGGCAAGGGTTCTTGCCTAATGACCTGAGCTGAGAGAAGAGGCGGGCAATGGGAACCTAAGTGATTTGCAATTCAATCCAAGGCAGGCTCAGGTGTATATTTATTGAACAGTGCTGTGCAATGTGTTGGCTGAGGCTGTACAGTCTCCATTGTGGTTTCAGAAGGAAACCCAATGCAGTTGGTACCGGTCGGTGAAGTTTTCCAGAATATTCGCGTCACTGCAAAACTTCCACCACAAAACCAGAATTACAACCACCTGCACCTACCACTTCTTTCATATACCGTAAGCGTACATCACATGATCCTAGACAGAAAGAGGAAAGGGGAAAGAGAGACATAAATGAAGGAGAAGGGAAATGGAGAAGGAAAGGGAGAAGGTAAGTAAAACTGCCAAAAGAAATCCCAAAAGCAACACACTTAAAAAACCCCATTGAGAAAGCTTGCTTTCTTATTCTTATCAATTGACATCTTTCTCATTACAAATGGGTGTTGACAACATTTGCA